TCAGCTCTAGTTTTAAGAGCGTTGTTCTTCTTTAGCGGTGATGAACAGAAATTGGACTTCTACGAAACACCTATGGAATTTTAAGAAGGAAAATGCTTACAAAGGAAAAATGGGGCATGAATTCAAACTGTGATTAAGATTTATTAATTTTAACAAGCAAATTTTATAATGGTCAATGTCACATTCATTTCAGTAAGTCTTTCTGAAACGTATGCGCGTCAAGAAGAGCAGAAAGAACGTTATATCTGAGGTATAGTACTATATAACAAATCACGTGTTCACTAGTTGTCATAGACTTTCTTTTTTTCACTGTTACATGAGCTGATGAGTAGATGGCAGCGGTTGTTCAGAGCCGTTTGCTTGCGTTAGTCAACATGTAGCCTGAGATATGATTTTGACATCATGTCAACATGAAATGAGCCTGGGGTTTAAGACTCCTGACATGGTTTCAGCAAGCTTAGTCAATTTTCCCGGTTCTGTGGCAGATCCTACTGTGACAACATTGGATCTATGGTGGTGCATCAAACCGTTCTCTTCTACACACGTACTTTCCTCTGCTTATTTTCCATGACGTGGGCGAAAGTTTCAACTTTGAGGGGTTGAGTGTATGATAAGAACAGCGTAAAGGTTGATTGTTAATGCATCATGGAAAACAGTATCATATTTACACATAAGTTTTCAAATTACTGTTTATAGAGCATGCTAAATCTGGACCGATCTAAAGCAACAAGAAATAATAATGGCAACATCCATATGACATAAAGTGCTATGCGTTTGTAACGTATTCTACGGTTGAGTGTTGGAAAAAAAAATCTATGAAAAAAATTATAAAGGAGAAACTGTTAACGATGATGTCTCAGTTCACAATCAGCATCGACTGATAGGGAAGAACTGACCGCCGGTCATTAGTGCAACGATGTTCTGAGATTTATTAGTAGAGCTGAATGTTTGAGGTTCGGTTCAGTGAGGATCTACTAGTTTTGTTTATTTCTTTGGTGAAAGAACTCATGCGAATGAAATGTTTTCGCTGAAGAATGTACAAGCTGGTCTGATATGTTGCTCACTTATCTTTTGCATTATTTAACGGGCAACGAAAACATTTCAAAATATACGTTAACTCAGTTAACGGATATCTCCTTCAAGACCGTGTTACTGAGTACTAACATACTGTTTATGCGACAGCATATCATATAATTGATACCAGTTTCTGAGATTGGAACAAACTGACGCGACATCATCTGGCACGCAGGTGTTCAAATATCATTGAACCGAGAGCTGCTTAAATCCCCAGTAGGCAACTAGGAACAAAGGAGTGTGGAATGTGCCGTGAAATTTGGTCTGAAGGAGTCATGTATTCTTCGGCAAAAAACAACATGGGTACTAAACTTTGTGCAATAACCGCAGTGGCCCATATCCAGCTTGGTGCGAAATTGTCCAGATTTGTTCTGACAAGACAGCAACATCTTTATCCTCGCTCATCAACAAACAGCAAACTGGTTAAGGGTTGGCAAGACCTGAAAACACGCAGTGAGAACCTTCACCTCAGATGGCACACAGTCAGTGTCGAGCGAGATAAATTGACGATACGGTTTTATGTAGATTGGCCATGAATCTCGGCCAGTCCGGCCGGTCTACCTTCGATCACTGTTCAGCTCTAGATGACGACGATTGCATACACAGTAATAACATATAGAGCGATGTTTGGAAGTTATACGAGTTACGCGTCGTCACACATAGACCCAGGCAGATTAGGGATTGGTTATGAGAAAGCAGTGCTACGGTAAGTTGGACGAATGATGATGATCGCCTCAGATGTCGGTCGGTCGAGAGTGTCACATGTGGGTCGTCTTGCGTCCGTCCGTCTGACGGGTTCCAAGCCGCTAAGCAAGTTGCAGCACAGGTTCGGGTTTGCTAGCCAAGGCCTGAATTCGGCGTCGTACTGCAACAACAGATCTCAACGAAGCGAGACAACGACGCAGCGACCTCTGCGCGTTATGTATTCCGCTTTAGTATGTCACCGTCCGTTCCTATGTTCCTAGGAGCCCGTCAGTCAGTCACTGCGGCGTAAACACGGCGCACGCCAGTCTCACTGATTCAGCAGCTTCCTTATTCGCCGCCTTGCTCGCTTCCATCCATTCGCAGCAAAAGATTTTGCACACTTGATGGAACGCTCAGCAAGGCAATGATCACGCGCAACGAATGTACAATAATCACTTGACGATGCTGTTGATGATAATCGATATTTATGATTACTGATATGATGGGATATAGTGGAAGTTCGAAAGAAGCCTGAAGACTGACACGTAGCTATGGTTGATGAAATAATTCAGAGCACTGTAAATAGCCATAACGGTCG